GTCAGTTCACCCAAATCACACACTATTTCTGTCATAGGAAAGAAGAAAGAGGGAGAAGAGGACTACGTCTATCTGATTTTAACCAGAGGAAGAGGAATTCAAATTGCCTTTTAAACGCTGTAATTAAACAAAAAATTACAGAAGAACACTTAGAAAAACTCTTCCCATCTAAGCCAATAGTTTTGTGACATACATCTAATAACCAACCAATAAAAATGTCTTGTTAGTCAGCATTCAGTGCCCCATTTTGACCCTATAATTTCTGCTTCAAAGCAGGTTTTTGGAGATGTTAGGACTTTGGCCCATTTTTCTGGGAACAGACACACCTCAATCTAAGCAACATGTGTGTGTGTGTGAGTGAGTGGGCGGGTTGAGAATAGTGTGTGTGTACACAAGTGATTTACCTCGATCGGAAATGTTATGCAAAAGGGATAATAGAGGCATTGTGCACCTGCCTGCCGCGGACTGCAGCCAGCGTGGACTCTAACACAGATAAAGTTTGGCAGCTCGAGGAGGATGAGCCGCATTCAGACGCTTCCCCAGACGCTCTGCAACCCCCCCAGAGGGCCACAGTGTCGTCTTCCAATGTGGATTTATTACTAGAAAACCTGGAGCTCTCTTTTGTTTTTCATGTCACTGGCCTCACAGACCCACTCATATTAAACCTTAAGAGCCTGAATTAATGAACATTTGCACTGAGGAAGCTTTTCTGAGAGTTTTTGTTTTGATAGACTGGAGTTCATGCTGAATTACATAACTGTCTGTAGGTGGGGAGGTCATGGGAGAAAGACTGAAAAGACTATGTAATCACTTATAGAGATTCTCCCATTGTGCAAATTAATAGGATGTATATTATGTTAAATTAAACTATATTTAATTTAACAGGACCTTGGATTTGCCTAATTTAGAAAAACTACTGATTTAAAATGTAAATGCATAAGATTCTTTTTTTAATACCAAACTTCCATTCAAATCTGTGGCAGTGAACAACAATGAGCCTCAGACATATCTCCTACGGTTCTGTGTCAGATTAAGGCTCATAAGGAAACTGGAGTGTAATCATTTAGTTTATGAGTTTGAATAAACTATAAACTTTTAACAAATGTGGGCTCACGTGTCAGAAATCCAAAGTAACAACTCTTTCAGTCAGGTGTTAAATTGCTTAAAAATCCAGGCGAGTTCTGCATTGCTGCAAGAGACAGCACATTGTTGCTCCAGTGACAATAACTCTGACAACAGGATGTATTCATGTTTAAAAAAATAAAAAATAAAAACACACCAACCTGCTTCTGACAGTACGGCCAGGCTGATAAGACATAAAAGCAACATATCTCCTTATGGCAGGAATAATCCAACAACAAACAAAGATGGGAGGAGAAGGACCCCAGCAGTTAATCAAACATCAACTATATGCAAAGATCTCATCCACGATGGTTGGTTGGTGGTGGACAAGACAAGTGCGTAGGTTCAAATCCAGTGTGGGCTTTCTCTTTCACTCAGCTGCGATCCAGTAAGGCGATAATGAGAACTCATGAGGAAACAACATGATCCCGGACGGTGTGTGATGTCCCGCTGAGGGAGGAGAAGAGTGGAGGAGAAGGAGGCTCTGCCCAGCTCGTCTGCTGCTTCGGGATCTGCAGCGTGTTTCATTTCCCCACAGTGTGCGCCCTGCTGCCCGCTCTGCCTCCGCTCCTCCGCATCTATTTCTAAAGGAGCCAGAGAGAGAGAGAGAGA